AGCTGGCAGTGAAAAAAAAAACAACCCCAAAATCTTCATTTTTTTGAGGGATTTTTTCCGGGTTTTTGTCACAGTTTTTTATTCCCAAATCCCGGATTTTTCAATCCTAAGGAAGGTGGGGGTTTCAAGGGATGTTTGTGGTGTTAATTAAATTATAATTAATTAATTGATAATTATTGAGCCAAATCCAAGGAAAAAATGGATTTTTTTTCTGCTCGCTTCTCCAGCAGAAATTTTTTTTTTTGGGGGGGGAAAAAATGGGAAAAACTCCTGGGAAAATTGAGGTTGGGGTGGGAAAAGAGGCCCCAATCCCAAAAGTTGCTGGCATGAAATTCCCCCCAAAATTCCCAATTTTTTCCTTTAAAAAAATTCCTGAAAAAAACCCAAATTTGGCAGCCGATCCGACTGTCAAGCTGCGGGATTTTCTGTCAAATTTTCCATAAAACAGGGATTTTCTGGGTTAAAATTCCACCCAAAAAAGAAAAAAAAAAAATCGGGGATTGAAAAAAATAAATTTTGGGAGCTCCAAATTTTTTGGGGGATTTTTTTTGGGAAAAAAAACCCCAAAAATGGGGACAAAGACGACGTTGAATTCCCAGCGTTTTCCGCACGATAAAAACGGGAATATGGTACAAGTGAGGTAAAGAAAAATTCCCAAAAAAAATATTTCACCCACGAGAGAGAATTCCAAGGAAATACCAACACAGTGAATCCAAAGTTCTTTGTTTTTTTTTTGGAAGTTTTTTCTTTCAGTTTTTAAAATTTAAAAAAAAAGCCACGAAAATCCTCCCAAAAATCGGCAGAAACGGCAAAAAATTCTGGAATTCCGGGAATCCGGAGGGGTTTGGAGCTCATTTGGAAGGAGGGAATGGTCCTGGAATTTTGGGGGGTTTGGGTCTCCAAAAATAGGAGAAAATGCCTTGAATTTTGGGGTATTTGGGTTTCCAAAAGTAGGGAGTATTCCTTCAAATTTTGGGGAATTATTGTTTTATTTTTGAGGCGTTTGGGTCTCCAAACACAGGGAATCTTCCTTGAATTTTTGGGGAATAATCCTTGAATTTTTGATGTGTTGGGTCTCCAAAAACAGGGAAAAATCCTAAAATTTGGAGGCATTTGTGTCTCCCAAACCAAGGAACATTCCCTAAATTCGGCCTTTTTCCATTCCCAAAACCCACAAAAACCATTCCCAAAACTTCCAAAGCGTCCGGAATTCCAAAACCCTTCCGATTCCTGGAATTTTTTTTTTATTTTTCCCCGGAATTTTTGATTTTTCACCCCTCGGCCAGCTCCAAATCGGCCTCCTCAAATCCGTAGAACGATTCGGTTTCGCTCTCCCCTTCAAAAAGCCGATGGAGAATCTCCGGATCGGGCTCGGGGTCGGAATTTTCCGGGAATTCCGTGGATTCCGGGCTGGCTCGGCGGTTTTTCCCGAGTTTCAGCTGCTCCTCCAACGCGGCGATGAGCTCCTCCTGAACATCYCCGTTATTCCTCGGAGCCGCTCCGGGTAAAACCCCGACAGCCTGGAAGGATTTCTGCACCAAATCGGGCGAGCGGGCGATGATTTCCAACGCCTCCCCCAACCAACGCAGCAGCGGCCGCAGCAGCGCCGAGGAATCGCAGGAGAAATCCGGGAATTCCTTGGATTGCTCCTTCCAGCGCTGCTGCAGGAAGGATTTGACGGCGCGCTCGATGCAGACGTGGAGGGGCTGGATGCGGGAGCTGCAGCCGGCGGGGATGACGGCGGGCAGCGTGGAGGCGGAGCTGAGCACGGCCAGCACCTCATCGGAGAGGTGCGTCCGGTGCGAGTCCAGCACCAGCATSCCCTTGGAGCCGGGGCGGAGCTCCGTGTGCCGGCGCCAAACGCGCGCGGCCCACAGCTCCATGATCTCCTCGTCGGCGCAGCCGCGCTCCGTGGATTCCAGCAGGATGGAGGAGGGAGTTTGGGGCGGAGGGTGGAGCCGGTGCCCGCGGGAGATGACCAGCGTGGGCAGCACGGCGCCGTCGGCCAGCACGGTCAGCACCAAATCGCACCAGGGTTCTCCGTTCCCCACCGTCTGCAGCGCRTTCTCCTTTCTGTCATCGCTTCCCAAAATCTCCGCGTCCAAAAACAACGAGATCTCATCCACGGCGGCGATCATGGACAGCGGCAGCTCCTGAGCGCGGATCTGGCGCCGCACGAACTCCACGAAATTCCAGGCGTTTCCTTGGATCTCTTTGGGCAGCGGGTGCGCCACGGCGCGCCGCGAGTGCGTGCTGAGGTGGTGGCGGAGCATGAACCTCACCGCCCACTCGTAGGAGATTTTGAATCCTCCGTCCAAGGAGCGGCCGATTTTGGTGGCTTTTTGGAACAGCGTCTCCTCGTTGACGGGGAGCTGCTGCTCTCGCTGGGTCAGCACCCACTCTGCCAGCTTCTCCTCGGCCTCCAGGCTCAGGTATTTGCCCTCGGAGCTGGGGCTGGGGTCGCGGCGGAGSAGGCTCTGGAAGCGGCGGAGCCAGCGGCGGATGCGGCGCGGAGGATTGCGGAAATGCTCCGCGGCAGCGTCCGTGCTGGAGCACAGAGCGAACAGCACCACGCGGAGCTTCTTCACCGACAGCTGCTCCTTCGGAGGGCTCTCCG